CACTGCTGCCGTTTTCAGTCCGGATGACGTAGAGGTAGGCCACTTGTTCAATTTCTATGACTTTGACGCATCCTGTGGGTATATTTTCAGGTTTGCCATTTGACAGATGGTTCACACTTTGGCGAAATATCGCTGCTAATAGAGGAAGGAAAGCGAGTCGTGACTGTTGTAGCGATCGAGTGCTGCGAATTATACTTTCTAAGTCGTAAGGACTTTCAAATCGCGATGGCCCCGTATCCCGAATTGAGGATGGAAATGAAGGCAATGGCCGAAAAGCAAATTTTGCATTCATTGTTTGCGCGACGATTATAAACGGAAGAGTCTTGTTTTTGTGTTTTTTCAAGGTTTAGTCTTTCGGATATTTAGATGCTACTAACATGTGCGGAGACGTAAACAAATCTAATTCGGCATAAATTGTACTTGTCAAATACCGCACTAGATTTCTGTAGACATTTTCTATTGTAGTAATAGTCTGAAATATTAGACGAGTAAAAATATTATTGGATAGTTAGATACTACTAACACATACGGAAGTTTTATCTTGGGAAGTAACATACAAGCGATCAAAATGTCTTATTCAAACCTATACAGAGCATCTCAAAATACGCAGAAATAAACTGAGCGCAGCTGCTGCCAACCCTGTCGTGTGGTCCGTACATCCAAACTTAATGGCGTTTGCTTCACGTTTTTTTCTAACCACGACGCCTTCATTTTCTAGTATTCCAAAACATCCAAACCGTGACTGTAGACTTAGAACGTGTTCAACCCAACGAACTTCAAAGAACTCGAGGAAACCCTCCGATCCGCAAAGCAGAACTACAACTACGTTATATATACAAAGGCACAATGAAGATTACTGACCTTGCTCCAGAAAAAGATCATCAAGCTGTCCGATAAATCCACAGTTCGCATTTTGTCTCACTTCCCACAAGATATGAGAACAGTAATTGATAATTGGAGGGTTTGTGTTCCATTTGCATCCCAACGCTTTGGCAACTTGGAGTAGTAATATCCTAATCGCACGCCAGTTGTAAGCCTGAGTAAGCGATATGAAGAACTTACTTGTGCGTTATCCCATATCCCAGCATGCATTTGGACGCCGTGACATATTCCAAACAAGACCGATCGAGGAAACAACGACTACGTTTCTTTCGTGAACCGTTAATTATTTCCGTAAGGCATTTGTCCGAAAACTTCTCGGGAAACCACGCGTTGGATATGATACCTAAATACTGATCGCATGTATGTATTTGAAACGGAGGCGTTACAGCGCCTACAATCCCTCGAGTAAACTCCACGTCCTTCTTCCACACTTTGACATCAAACAGAAACTTCTTAACTGAAAGTTACAGCAATAAAACTGGTTAATTGAAAACGGATGATGGAGAATTACACGTCGTGTAACTGCGAGATAGATTTTTATGCTCCCAGCGAATTTGACTTAAAATTTCGGATGTTTGATTAGACAATAAAAGGTGCTTCTTTTCGGCAGCGCATAGCTTCAACAGGTGCGCTACAATGGATTCATAACTTCCATCTTATTCATAAGACTTACCTTTCGCGAGAACAACTCCAAACAGTCCGTCGAGATTCATTTCGTCTACATTTTCGGAAATAAAACCTAAAACGCTACTCAAAGCGTTTACTACCCGGTTTTCCAAATCATCGCCTATAGGACTACATTGGCACGCACTGAAGAAAACCAGCACGATGAGAACCTGCGAAACGTCCATCGCGGTATGTCGTTATTCAAGTTTTACGTTAAAGACATTTAACCCATAGTCGTCCCAAAAACGCATCGATACATTTTAAAATGATCGCTATAATTTCAAATTGTTTGCCTAATATCCGATCTGTGTTTCTGCGTGCTTTAAGAGTTAAAGTATGTAATAGTAGCAACTGGCTGAGATAGAAATTGGATCGAGTTTCGATTGCTGTGACAGAACGTCACTGTTCAATTTATGAGGACGATTTTTCTAAATTACGTTTATTACCTTAGGCACAGCTTTCTTACATAATTAAATGGGAAACATGAAAATTAAATGTGGCAATACGTGCAGGAACTCTCCGCGCAAAAAAATCTATTTCGATTGCATTGTCGACTTAACAAAAATAATAAGAAATTTAACATGTAAATTAAATTAAGCTCGTAGAAGAAACTGTTATTTTAACTGAAAACTGTATGCCACGTTTATGTCAAATTTCGGTTCGTATGAACGTATGGACCGTTTGGAACAGTGACTTGCACAATATGCATAGGTCATGCGGTTCAACTTTTACTGTATCGAAGATATTCATATGCACCTTGTCATTTGAGAAACATTTTCATATAAAATATGGACCTTATTATCATTGGTACCTCAAGAAGATTAGATGTGTCAGAAACATTAAAATGTAATAGTGAGACATAAAGCGAGAACCACTCCCATTTTATTAACGTCGTCCCCAGCCCACGGTACTTTAGACGTGGTCCCATCCTATATTTGAAACCTAAAAATGGTTCAGTAGATAACAGAAGCCCTTAAAGCAGGCATGTCAATCAAACACGCGGGCCGCATGCGATCTTCCGTTCTCAAACCTGCGGCCCGTCACGATGTTTGCAAATTATAAAATTTAATTGCACCTTGTGTCCTATTTTGGTTGAAACTGCAGTGTATCTCAGCTGTTTTTTTGTGAAACCACAGACAGAATCAATCTAGTTTCGTGAGATACAGGGTGCCGGCTCGTGTAGCGTAGTTCAGTTAAATCTGGACTGCGGTGCTAAGGGTTGTTGGTTCGAATCCGGGTTCGTGCATGGATATTTGTAAATGTATAGTACGGCTTGGGTTGGTAGAGCCGCCTGAAAACCAGCCCACTCAAAAATAAAGGCAACATAAATAAATAAAAAACGAAAAGTTTGATTTTTTGGGACGTTATCAGATGTTACTACCGATGTAAGATTAAAAAAGGTAAAAACGGCCTATTTTAGACATTGTTACGTAGAATCCAATGGCGTAGTAAAAGAAACTTTTAGACCACCGTTTCTGAGGTTTGACCCGAAGTTGGTATTTTTTAAATGCAACACCCTGTATATATTAACGTCAATTTTTGTGTGCTCTTTTTCCTATTATATTGATGTATCACAACCTGTATTGTTTTAATTTGAGCGATTAAACTCAATAAAAACCTTATTTTTTACTCTTTTTAAATAGTAGGCCATGGATTCATCGAGATTTTGACTTGTTTATTGTATCCATGGCGACTAAGGCAGCCGATATCAATCAATAAAAATGGCTGACGGTAGAAATATGTCATTTTAAAATTTTGAATGATAATATAATAAAAAAAAATATAAGATGATACATCAATGTAATAAAGAAAAAAGAATTAAAAAAATTGTACGTTAAAGTATACAGAGTGTTGCATATAAAAGATACCAAGTTTGGGTCAAATCTCAGAAACGGTGGCCGCGACAACTTTTTTTGACTACCTACCACGTCACTACTACATAATTCTACGTAAAAATATCTAAAACAGGCAATTTTACCTTTTAACCACCCGTACGCTAGTAAGGGAGGTATTGCATCGGGGTAAAAAATGACCCCCCTCCATTTTTTACGAAAATACACGTTTTGAGGTAGCAGGAATCCGAATCAAACAAAATTTCGATATCAGTGTGACTGTGGGTCTGTCTGTACTCTCATTTCCGGGAACCAAATTTGGTACCTATTCATATTTTTAGATAAAAGAAAGGGCTCTATTTTTTCGTGTTATTGTATTATTAATGTGAACTTTTTTATCATGTGACTCGCAGCAAATGTCCCTTGATGATAAATGAGTTTGACATGCCTGCCTTAAAGTATTTCGTTTTCATACGCATATTACCTATACATTTTCTTTAATTTATAGCATTCATCTAAAGTGATGCTACATTTTACAATGATCCTGTATGAAGATGAACTGCACAAATGCAAAATCAGCAAAGTTAAATCAAGACACTATTTCCTTGATATACCTATAAACTAACGTTGTTTAAAAATTGCTGAAATACCTAACATTCTTGTAAAGTGGCTGCATTGTATTTAAAGAATGCGTGTCTCCAGGGAGTGTCTATACGTTAGCGGTGCCAAATCCTTAAGTAAATACATATTTTTTTCTATTTTTACGTTTATTTAACGTATATTTACATACTTTACAAAATATGACGAGTAACCAGATTCCGACATGCTTTTTCACTGCCTACAATGCTTAAAATAATGCAATTACTGTGCCGCAAGAGGTCGCAATATGTATTTTACATGAAAATGACAAAATTTGTATTGACAGGATGTTGGGGAAGTTTGTTCCGAACAGAGCGAGTAAGTAATATGGTATTGGCGACGCACACAGTAGTATAATCATTGAATTTATAACTATAAATTCAATGTAGTGGGTTCATTACAGATTCCTGTATAATAATTAACAAAAGAAAAAAACTGACATTATTATTTATCTTTCTCGATGGTAGAGACATCTACGTCTTGTAATTTAAACTATTTAAAACAGTCATATATCCTGCCATTTAACCCGCGCTTCTGATAGTTATAAATTCAATGGTATAATATCTCAAATATATGCAGGGGCGGACCGGGTACTTACGGGCCAGGTGGAGACTGCAGTGAATTGAGATTTCGATCGTGCGCCTAGATAGAAAAATGTGTAGGCAACTAACAATACAAATTATTGATGATTTTTAATGAAGATTCTAAAACGCTGCAGGCTATAGGTCCTATTCATTCACAAACAAAGCAATTAGTACCTAAATAAATATAAATTGAAATACCCCTTATCATTATAAAATATTTTCATGCTTTATTCACTTATGTCGATAGCAAGTTTCTTATTTTAAATAGAGCATCCTATATTTTATTACATTTTCGAAATCTACATGAAAATCTACGTCGTTTGAAACCATGTTTCCCTATACCCAGCATCAAGTTTTCAAGTTATTCAAGATTTTTCAAAATTCAAAAATAGACAGTACTGACTTGATTCTACGTGACAATGATTTAAATTTTGATCGCTTTTCTACAGGGTGTTTTAAAACTAATGTTCAACTTTATTAACCTCAACAACAACTTTTACATCAATCTAGTATTATATTCCGTATACCTATCTGTTATGCTTTCCGTTTTATTTTAGATTTTCTAAAATTGTGGCCCTTATACATAATTTTCCTAGGATGCCTTGGAAAAAATGCGTTAGAAGACCTGTCAGACCTTTAAGTTGATAATATAATGACAGATAATAAAAAGTTAAATAAAGATGACATAATAAACAGAAGCAGGTAATAATAACAAGCGATAAAATTAAAAAAACATCAATTGAGGTTTTGTTGTACGTCGCCACCGTTTTTTTCAATACATAATAGAATCCTCCGGTTAATCCCGTTGGTAGTCGCTTCTATACTTTGTTTCACTGGTGCTGAACCTGACGTCATAAATGTGATTCTCTCTTCATTACATTTAAATCGATTGAGACAAAAAAATTACGTCATTAACGTAAGTCGTGACAAATAAACCAATTGATCTGTCATAATATCAATCCGTCAAACGATTTTCGTTATAGACAGATTTCCAGTGTTGCTTAGGTAGTTTGTGTTAAAAGTGAAGTAAATATCATCAAAGTTAAAAACGCTTAGGCAAGTCGACAGTGCAGCAACGCCGTTAATAGACAAGTATTTTAAAAATTTTACCGCATAATGGTTCGATTCGCTCATATCATGAATTTAGCCTTTTAGGTCATTCCCGTTACCATTAGGTAAATATGACGAACCGATACACAGAATGAAGATGTTCGCTAGAACACTTAGGTATTGAATTGATTTTATAGGTGAGAATGTTACACTCCGTTCCTTACACAGTAATCTTCAACGACTTGATGGCGTAGAAATATCTGCTACCTCTTTGTCCCGCAGTTTGAAGAAACTGAAATTCACGTGGCGGAGATGCACCGTTTCCAATAGATTATTTTTAATGGAACAGCCCTATGCAGTTCAAAGAAGACTACAATTTTTGAGAGGCTTTAAACACAACGAAACTTCACTCTTTCCATTACGACCTGTGGTTTTAGACGAAACCTGGATATACATGTAAAGGGTCTTTTAGAAGAAGCTGGCAAGATGGTACTCTCAAAACAGTTAGAAAAAGAAGTGGTGAAGGGGTCCGGTATATACCTAATACTCCATGCAGGATCAGAAGATGGATTTGTGGTGTAGTGTCGTTTTTTCTTTTGTACATACGATTTGAATATGAACATTTGAGAGTTTTTTCTTCACTACCTGTTTTCTCTCACAATTGCGTTTTTTTAAAAATAAATCGGATCAGACGATATTCAAGATCCTTATGCGAATATCTCGACTGTGTGGCAAAAGAACAGAAACTGTATGTATGCGTTGTTATTTCAATGAGCCAGTGGTATAATGACTACGCTTTATCTCAAATTTGTAAGATGTATAAATGCGAAGGGCTTACCATGGCCTATTCTACTTCTGCAAATGCTGCAATGGCTAGTTAAGGGTCATTAAAATTCGCGCAACTTAACGCGTATTCTTCACATTGGTAGCATACTTAATTTCACATCAACATTATGTAAACAAATATTAATTTACGAACTGCCTAAACAAACTTTAAGTTACAAATGTTCCTATGCGTTTTCTGTAACCATCATACACTTCATCTCAAAGAGTTTCGGATGCTCTGGCAGTATCCATTTGGATTGTCGGTGCAAAGAATCGGTTACATGAGGTGATTACAAACGGTGGAAAAGGTTTAATTCATACCAACGGACTTCCTCTACATAAAATACATGACCATTTAGCCATTATAAAACCTAAGAACAGGAAAAAACCTATCAGGACCAGATGCCTTACAAGTGATTGTCAACTTGGGCGGTCTAATAATGATGAACGATAGTGACACCTTAATAAATAAGTTGAAACGTCAATGTGACAATATGTAAACCAACTACTAATTTACGACCTGCCTTAATTTTGCTATGACGTCAGATAGTGTGACGAAAGGTTCAGCACCCTTGAAACAAAGTATATAATGGNCTTTTAAATATTGGTTAGAAACCATGTTCATTTGATTTTAACCAAGATTTTAATTCTAACAATAGGCAAATGTAAATGCCATATTTTGAATTAGGTTAATTTGAATTTTCTTTAAAACCATAACTTTTCGCTGGTTACCTACCTATATTAAAAAAGCATAAAATTTCATGTAGAATTAGAATTGGAAATCAAGTACAGTATCCCTTTAAAAAGATTTAACTTTTTGGTCCCCCACTTTGTGATCGTACCCGAGTAATTCAAAATATTTTTAAAATATGCAGAATATCGTACAAAGACTCACAATTATTTCAAATAAATAAACTTTTAGTAGAATCTACATCAACCTGCATTATTGTTATTGGTACTATAAGAGAAAGAAAACTTAACGATTTTTGGAAGTGAGTAGGCTGGAACCGCATGCTTTAAATTTTTATACTGAAGCATTTATAAAAAATAACAATTGTGTATCTAGAATATTGGTTTGAGTCTTTAAAAATTTCAATTTCAGATCATGGGCGATGCTCTTGATTTTGGAAGGTAATCTATCTATATTTATAGACCTAGTGCGGGTGCAATTGGAACAGGCAATAAAAAATAACTGTTCAAAGAAGGTGCCATTTGAAATCGACACCTCGTTTCTGAGACTGTGAATCTTTACTAAAATTTGTCTAGAATTGTAGAGCAATTTCGGGTGCAATCCGCACTATTAAGAAATTTCCCAGTGTTGAATAAGGATATGCCAACTTCATACACAAAATGAGGCTTTACGACAATTCAACCAGATTAACTGGGTTTGCTAGTTACACTTATTTCCACTTATTTCCATCATAAATTCTACCAACCTAGTTAAATTATCGTAAACTAACAATGCAAGAAATAACCTACATTTTTGGCTGTACTAAGGTTATTGGAAAAATATATTCAATCAGCTGCTTGATCCGTACTCGAGTAAGTTGTTTTAAATCGCGCTGTTTCTTTTCCAACTCCATCTTTGCCTTTTTGATCTTCTCCTCCTTGCCTTCAACGTAACAACCCAGCTCTTCGACTTTTTCTTCATACTTTGGTAGACTCTTAGACATTTTTTCATTTTTGTGACGTATATCGATTAGCTCATTCTTAAGAAGAACCTGCCTCTCTTTCTTCTCTTTAACGGCATTTTGAAGAATCCTTATCCACTCCCGCTTATGTCTTATTGAAGAAGACTTAAAATAAACAACGTAAATAAGGGTTAACAAACTTTTGACAGCTGTAAAGAAAACAAAAGTTTAGTTTCTCACCAATTCATCTAAGTCTTGCCTTTTTTCCAGCAAAGGTAGGCAGGTGTTTTCGTAGGACTTTTTGGCGGCTACTATCTCACGTAGTCGTAATTTTTTGTCGATGTACCTGTAACAATTTCAACAATTGAACAATAGAAAAACAATGCCAGGACCGTGTACTTACCTTTCAGTGGAGTTTGAATGGCAAAATTCGCCATTATAAATGCACTCCCTGCAGTAAAACTTTTTTCTAAAGTTCCAACACAACGGGCACTTCTGAGGAATGGGACTATTTCGACTGCCACTGTCCAGGGAGGAAGACAGATGGAAATCTTTTGGAGCTGTTAGACTTTCGTCTGAACTGCTAGTCGCCATGTCTAATTTTTTGTCATTCCAAATAGCTTTACCTTTACCTCCAATATTCAAAACTGTAAATTTGTAAATACAGCGACACCATTTAAAGCCTTACAGTTTCGAAAATGTTCTGTCAATTTTATGTGCTGCTTTCGCCCCCGCTTCAGAAAACAATAACATTTTGATTACATGTCCCAGTAGGCATGGGCAAAGAATTTTGAATTATGTATAGTGTGACCAAAAATTTTTGATTCGTGCAAACTGTGCCCTGTAGTTTTTGAAGTTCAAAGTTAAGGTGGGTTCATAGCTCTCCGTTCATCCGTTGCGTTGGTCTGTCAAACGGATAATGCATTTTATTAAGGTTCATAGCAATCCGTCCACATTGTACATTTGCAACGTATAACCATAACCTAAATTTTATTTTGTACTGTACCCTCCGTGATTTTCAGTATGTAAAAATGGTACGAAACTAAGAGCACGTTGCTATCTGATTATTACCGTGAAGAACGAATAGGCGAACACTGTTAACGTACCAAACATAACCTAACTCTTGTTAAAAACGGAACAACGGAAACGTAAATGTTCAACTTCAACTAACTTTTCCGTCGTAAACGGACGACGTACGATTTAAAAATTTGCTGTCTTCTGATTGGCTAACGGACAAACGGAAACGTAAGAACGGAGAGCTATGAACCCACCTTTAGGATAAAAGAGATGGTGAGTGAGTTAAATCACCCTGTACATACAATTGCAATTTCTTTATTTTGTGATAACGTTTAAAGAAAGTTCAGAAAAACAGAATGAAAATTCAATAGAATTGCTTCGTACCATCTTGGAATAATGAAATCAGAAAAAAATCTAAAGTAAAACTAATGCCTATTCAAAAAATGTGTTTTAAAAAGCTATGCTAATCTGGTGGGACGGAATCAATCCCTTTTAAGGTCTGTCGTAAAAATGATATAGATGCGTCAAGATCTCGAGGATCTTTCGATATTCATTTGTACCAGATAGTTGAACTCTGTATTTCCATATTGTATATACTAGCCTACTATATACATACTAGCTTGTTTTTATTGTATTCCCAATACATTGATTAGCTATATATAAACAGTTTGAATCACTGCAGCTGGGTTTCCTCCGTATAGAAAAAGAATGGCCTATATTCAAACTGTTAATGTATGGTGATCTACCACAAGAGTACCTATATCCATATGCACTGTGTCCCAACTCCAAGAATAAGGGTGTAGCTATCATGGGGATCTCAGAAATCATAAAAGATACGACATCGTTAAATTAGGGAAAAGTTGCGCCATTAAAGATTAGTAAAGAGAACCAGAAAATTCCAAAGATTTGCCAGAAGTTTTCTGATGTTATTTCTAATCGAGTTAAGTTAGGAATTGACTTGGACAAAATTCCCAATTTCCTGCAGTAAAATACCCACAAGTTCCAAAGTTGTGGAAAATTAGGGTTTTCTATGTGTGCCATACATCGTTGTATTCGTTATTCGTAATAAAAAATGCTACTCAATACAGTATATCGGGTGGTGCACGGTAAGTAGGAACATAGGGATTTAACATGGGAAATTAGTTTTATGCAATATCCTGCCCTCCTGTACATTTTACAGAAAAAACTGTACAGTTTAAAGTTGTTCAGAATTAAAAGGTGCATACAAAACTGTTTTTATATGTTTTATTAAGCTTTTGGTATACCCGCAAATTTAGAAATAATTTTCAACATTTCTGTTATTAGTAGCAATAGCCATGACTTTTGTTGTTTTATGAATTGCTACTAATAACAGAAATGTTGAAAATTTTTTAACATGCCCAAAAAACGGTGATCGCAATAGCCACCTAGCTCGAGGTAGGAAGCTAAAAATTCAAATTTAGTTTTTGTGTGACGAAATCTTGTTACAAACCTTGCCCTGTAATGGAAAAATCTCACGATTTCAAATTACTCCCCATATACATAACACATCATAGTAACGTCACTTACGTTCAATAAACCCCTAAAGACTATCAAAATGTGCAGTATCTGCTTTGGAAGCCATATGCAATATATTAAATCATACATCAGAGCCAATCTTAAGATTCATTTGGGAAAAAAGACTTGTTTTGTTCTCCTCTTCCATCAAATTTGTTTTGGACATACTACATTATTGTAGTAAGAGTGGATGCAGAAAGGACTCTCTCTATGTACGCCATTGGTTGGTTATCGGAAGCATCTTTATAGGCTCTTCTTAAATTTTGGGCTCTAGAACTTCTGCCGGATATTTATGAAACACCCTGTAATAAATTAAAATATTTTCGTTCCAAGACGTAGTGACCCGATGTTCCACAGCCAGCGGGTACAGAAAGTTCAAAAATATTAAGTGAACTAAGAACAATATTTACGTTGGTTGTTTTACACAGTACGTGTTAAAATAAGTACTTATTTGTTTCTGAAGAAGCTATTTTACCAACAATATTATGACGTCCTTTGTATATAAACTGTGCCATTATCTATCATGATAACAAAGTTTTACTTAAATATTATTTATTTATGTACTAACTTCTCTTATTTATTACACACTTTTTACATATTCTTTTCTAACAGTTGAAAAATATATCTTAGTTACTAAATGATAAAATTGAATATCAATAAACCACATGATATGAAACTGATAACTTATTTGTTTGTCTAGATAAATTTGAACTTAAGTTAAAACTTGTAGGTGTAGCACTTTTAATGAAATAAAACCACTAACATTGAAATAACTTAATAAGTACGTACAAAACTATATATTTCTAATATTAAAATGTACGTCTTTCATTTTTCTGGAGGTATGTATAAAGCGTTCCATTCTTGGCAATTTTAAAGACTCAAATACAAAAAACAAGACAATCATCTTTAAAATGGCCATAAATTCTATCATTAATGTACAAACGATTTTCTAATATTAAAACTTTGGTACAAAAAAAGTATTAGGCCAGTTAAATAACCACACACATTATAAAATACACAAAAAAACTTACAGAGAGCGTGTATTAAATAATAGATCAGCAAAAAATGATTTGTATCAACCTTTCTTCCTTCTAAGATAAATCACAATAAAATAAAATTTAACAAAAAATGCAAACAATGCAAGTAGGTACCTGCTTGTAAATCCGGCATCTTACGAATACATACACTCATCGGAATCCTGAAAACAACTAGAGCTTTAGTATTTATTACTGAAATTATGATTCAATAACATAAGACAGTTCACGAACGGGTATTGGAAGGTTGTGTAAAGGTGCTGTTAGGAATACTATCTCAAATGCAGGCCATACACAGATTGTATATTGTTAAATGTTTTTAAATAAAAGAAAATGAAAAACTTTCAACTTTTTTTTCAAAAAATTTCTACAAACACATAAATAAGATGGCAACAACAGTGCGCTAGCTACAAAATTGTTTTGAAATCATTCAATTTAAGGGCATTCACCAAAATCATTATTAAATTCCCAACTTACAGAATCATCTTGTTTTGGACATAATTCTCTATATATTTCTGCCATTAGTGCTCGTCTGAAAACAAATATGATTAGTTAAAGTCAAGCAACGCAGAGATCCAAAGAAGTTTGACCGAAGTGCCTGTAACTTACTTCGCCGCTAAACCGCCACCGGGTGGTAATCCTTCAAGTCCCATACCGACAAACAGTTCAAGTATCCGCATGAACGAAACCTGTCCTTCGTTAGAGACAACTTCTGTAAAAGAAAAAAGTCAAATAAAACTCAAATAATTTATCAACAATTTATTTTAGGCTAACAAAATTACATCACACGTGTCAAATCGGTGGTAACACATAAAACCTACTAAAAGACTAGAGGAAAATTGTTCAATAGATTTTGTTACACAAATATTAATACTGGTATCGAACATATGCTTAGGAACACAACAAATACTCAAAAAGGACGTCAATTAAGTTACATTTGGAAGACTAGGATAGACTCTTTTTTGATTAGCCATTTTGACTACTTTAGCCGATCAAAAAAGAACCCGAAAATGAACACATTCAATATTAAGAAATAAAAAATTGCGGTTGAGATCACTAGAAGGCGCTAAACCTTCACTAAAAAGAGTGGTGTTTTGTAACTTATGACTAACCATAAAAGTAGCAACTTAAAAATAGGGTAAAGCTATCTTGCAAAATTGAGCAAACCAATCTGATATAAAACAAGCCGTATTGCCTCCTTTTTCACCGTGCGTCTACGTTTGAGAATTCTGCACTGTTTGGTGAGAAAATGAAGATAAAAATAATACTTTAATACAAGTGAGCGTGGTTGATTTACAGAAATAAAAAAATCAAATCAAATAAAAAATGTCCCACGTGAATTCAAAAGTCAGTCGTGGTCATCTAAATAAACCTTAAATACCTACACGAAAACAAAAAATAAATAACCAAAATAATACTATAATATAAAAATAAGTATTTTTTCTAGTATATTATCACAGTAAATAGGAGATCTTAAGAATTTCTTTACGTCATACATGAAAAGAGCATTACGAATTATTGGTGCAAAACAGGTTGCAGTGATGCATGAACCTCACAGATCTCATACATAAATTTAATTTTCACCCATAATATCCTGTGAAAGGAGTTTTCTGCTAGTAAAACTGATAATTGAATGACTTTGTGTTTCCTGCCAAATAACACATGATCAACAATGTTGTAGTTAGTTCCCTTATGTAACATCAAACGTAAATACTAACAATCCTTATTAAAGATCCACAATAATAACTACAACTTACCGTAACATTATTTCTGTCAACATGTACACAAAGCAGGAGAAGAAAAATTCTCAAACGAAGACACACTTTAACATGTTAATACACAAACAATATTGAGCTACTCATCAGGAAAAACCGTTGAGAAGATTAAAAATTATACAAGAGCATAAATGTGCTCTACAAAAACAATATTCGTCATTCAAATACTCACTGATAAGTGAACCTATGCTTACCTTTAAAATTGCACTTTAAAAATACTTGTTAATCTAATACACAGAGTATTTTGGCTCATATAATTGCAGTGGGGAGAAATATCATCGCAAATGACAGTATATAAAAATAATTTGCAGAAAAATATAGCAATAAATGATTATAGTTAGTCAGACAATTTCTCATTGGCAGTGATAGTATTAATAGTTACTAAATAATAAACATTCTGATTTCGATCACAAAGAAATAGGTCCCAAGGTTTGTAGGTAGCTTCAAAAAATTTAAAAAATCTTAAACATGCATCCATTTTTTAAAGTAAAGAAGAGGAATGTGATTTTGGATTGTACCCCCGCTCTCGCCACAAGATTGAAAAATCATAAAAAATGTATATATAATTTGTTTTCTTACAACTATCGTATTACATAAGAAATAAAATATGAACTCCTTGACAGAGTATTTTTTCCATTATTTTCTAATTTAACACTATTCATGGTTAAGGCAGTAAGAAAGAAAAAGAAAAAAAAATCATGATCTAGGTTGCCATTAAAAAAACTGAAGATGACGGCCGCACTCACAACATTTTTTTAATAGTAACCTTGTATATTTAAATAGTTTTTTTCCTATTATTTTGCACTATAGTGATAGCACCCAACGCCAAATAGTTACGTTCAAGTAACAAATTCCTAAAATACCAATTTGTAATGAAACATTTTTTTGCAACATCTGTAGCTTCATTTTAATTAATTAACCCGTGTGTGGAAATAATCTGTCAAATGATTTTAGTGTCAAAAGGTATAGATCAAGATACATATAGATAAACAAATAGACAGTTGAATATTCGATATGAGTATGTAAGACTAACCAGCGTCATACCACCAAATGTGCTGGCTGTCCCACATTCGAGGGTAATCATTGAGATCTCGATAACTGCAAGGGATCCGATGTTGATTAAATGGAGGCGAAGTTGCGTATTTTGTGACCGAATCTAACGCTGCGTCGAAGGTGAAATAAATCAAATTACACTATGTCTAGAATTAAACATTAGAAAACGTTGCAAAAAGATGGGTAATTTTCTCAAGGAAATTGCAAAAGCAACTCTGATTGACTTCAAAACTAAAAGAACATCCCGCACCAAAGTGTACTTGCAAGAGAAGTCATGAAAAATTGTCAAGAAACAAGGGCACAAGAAGAAGAAAAAAACGACAACCAAATGAAAACTATTGGCATAAAAATAAGGCCAAAAAATGAAGATTTTGACAAACAAGAAACCATTGCAAATTAGATATTCCGTAAGGACAAGGAAACTCCGCGTATCTCATGGCTCATGGTAGTGAGTTGTATAAAGTACATTTTGTTTATTCATAAATCATAACACATAATATAGGCAAAAATGGCAATTTCAAACTACAATATGGTCACAAAAATGGATATTTTAAAGTGGGAGACTGCATAAATATTTCTCAAAGAGGAAAAGGATGTCATTTTTAGGGTAGACAGAGACACCCCTTGTTATAAGATCTTTCATCTGCTGAACAAATAAATACATATTATATAATACAGTAGGGGCAATTATGTGAAATGGCGAAGGGTGGCCTAACATTTCAATATTAATATGTGACTATTCATATACAGTACGTGCTTATTCTATGTGCACAATGTTTCTTCTCGCCGCACATACAGGGTTAAGTGGTAGAGCAGATGGCAAATTATTATTTTTATCGTACTAAACTTGGCCCTGTAAACTTGATTAGTTTATTTATTTATTTTTGTCATTTACGTAGATATGCACACAATTTTTTAATAGTCTCAAAATTTTACTTGCATTTCCGACTATGAGATGTAAATGTAATTGCTGAACGATAATTGAAGAATTTCTGCAAATTATTTGTTTATACTGCAATACAACCCCACTAGTGATTCATATACACCCTGTATACAATGACCCTGCCAAAAATATCAATTTAGAAAAACTAAAGTCACAATGAGCAGGTTTGTTAGGCACAATGGCTAAAGTGAAAACGTTTGACTCAAGCCATTGTTTGTGAAATAGTCCACGGGCCCATTGTTGTTCTTTTAATCTAATAAATATTGTCAAAAGTGACATTTAATAAAGATTTGTTTAAGTCACAAAGTTTAAGCGTATATCACTAGAAGAGAGCCGACTTTCACACTTTGTGTGGAAACGGTTCCGATTTCTATACTTTTTTAACTTAAGTTTATTTAGTTTCGTTCTTTAGTTGTAACGAATAAAATTACTATAACGCCTTGTATACAGTTTCCTTTTGGGATTTAGATTGTCAAAACATTTACTACACACTTGGGAACATACATGGATAGAAAAAATATGGCACTCTACCGGGTTAAAACGGAAAATACTAGATCTTATGGCAAGAGAAAAAATTTAAACAACCTTTAATACTCCTCTCGATAATCGCATCAAGTTCTTGCTCAGCTTGGATAGCCTCCTGCGATGGGGTCGGTGCACCGGGGAAAACGACTAATACAATGCTCATGTTATCTCGACTGCCCTGTAAAATTACAATATTACTCATCACGAACTCATTGGTATTTATTCCGTTCGCAAGGTCTTGGTCTTGGAAAACTTTATTTGTTTCTAACACTGAATAAGTTCGGTTTAGAAATCTGTCACAGAGTGGCCATTCATGTAAATAGATGTTGCCATTAGGTCATTGACATTGCAATGCTGTCTAGAGAGTATGTTATCAGTTTAAAAAAGTTAGAATGTCGCATAATCCTTCAATTACTGCATGGAAACTAAATTCTACGCAGGAACGAACAAAACAACATCAAATTACTTACAACTTTCGGAATTTGGTTAATTACAAAAGAGTTGGTTTTATTATTAAGAGAGAAGAATGAATTGACAATATACAAGGTAACAGAATATTATTGCAAATGTAGTTATGGCAAAGCTAGAAAACAAAATTAAATAAAAAATAAATTAAACTAATCCCTAAAGTGGATCTAAAAAAGCGTCAGAGCCGCTCGGTGTGACCCCACAGGGTCATTGGATTTGACCCATTTTCAATAGGATTGGTACATATAGGTCAACTGCGCAAAGTTTAAACCGAATCGACCCAAGTGTTTGGTGGTTATCGGGTTCACGGACGGACAGATGGACACCATTTACTCCCCTATAAAGCTTCCATCGTTTTGCTCAGAATAGGGCAGACAACTCAACCACATAAAATTAATTCTTAAATCGTATTTTGAGTTTGCTGAAATGAGAAACTTTCATATTAAACTTTTTTATTTATTTATAGAAATATTTAAATTTTTGTAAATTGGCGCTTTTCAGTTTAATGTAAATAACTTGTAATCGGCCCTGGTTTTTAAAATTCTCTAAACGGAATTTTAACACACAACTGCAAAACTGCACCCATTTTACCTCGCATTTTACCTAATCGCTTTCTTCAATAATAACAAACTAACCTATTACATCAATCCAATTTGATCTGGGACACTGTGTTTGGAAAACTGAGGGATGACGCATCGGCATGAGTCCACCATCCAAAAGCTATCTGCCAAGGATAACTCCGCCTTCTTTTTCAGGCAGTGTTGCGTCTGTATATTATGATGGCCACTTGGATGTCAGACTCTCATAATAGCACTAGTGTTCTTATGAATTCATAAAAGCACGCAAATGATAACCATTACTATCTACTATTTTCCACAGCGAACTTCCAAATTGACAAACGCAAGTACCATGACACCCACTAGTATTGGCACTTGATAATTTTGAGTTTTAACTTAAGAAAACGTCTAGATAACTAAAAATGCGAATAAACTCTATTTGGAGATTAAATTTTGAATGATATGCACTCTATATGATGTTCATATCGAACAACGTATCGAACTTGTATCCTTAATAACTATAAGGACATTTATCTGACAGTGTCACATATCAAATTCTACAAAGTGAAAGATACAGTATGTCCCTATGAAACAGACAATCGTAATATATAAAACAGAGTCGTGTATGTTACACCACTTATAACTCAAGAACAGCTGGACCAATTTTCATAATCTTTGATTTCTTGGATTCGTCTCTGCTCTGAATATAAAGAAAAGTAAATATAACAACTAATGACAGCAACCGTCTCAAAACAACTGGTTTCAAACTTACCAATAGTTATAAATTCAATGATAGTAAGTACCTAATGTTTTCACAGTTTTCACTACATTTCTCCCAATGCATGCAGAAATACCTATGTGGGGGATAGCTATTGAAATAAAAGACTTAAGATGGATTCACATGAATACGAAATCCGACCATACGGTCATCTGAAATGCTTATGATTGGTCAATAATTTGAAATGCGCTTGACATTTCAAACTACTGACCAATCATAAGCATTTCGGATGACTGTATCGTCGGATTTTGTATTCATGTGAATCCAGCTTAAGGAGGATCCTATTAGGCCAGGGGTCGGCAACCTGCGGCTCTTTTGATATAAAGTTGAGACTCTCCATATTTATCTAAAGAAATTAGTTCATTTGTTCGAAATTCACTTTTTTAATTAATCCAATTTGTTTACAAAATCAAAAGTACACTTGCAGCAAATAATTATCTAATTGTTTACTTTCTGGTATTCTTTTGTTTTTTATTATAGCAGCCTACTCCGATGTATAAACACGTCATTAATTAATGAGTAGGTACTTTTGTGAAAAATATTGAATAACTGCGGGGTTTAAGCACAAGGCGCCCCTTATAAACATTGAAGAGAACACAAAAGACAATCGAATAGCGAAAAAATAGTGGTAGTTTCATATGAAAAAGAATAGTTATAGTACTTTGAGCAAATTGTATTGAAACAAGTAAAAATATGCAGGATGTTCTATTTAAAAAGATCAGTTATTTATTGACATCGTATAAATGGAACACCCTGTACATTCAAAAATAATTTCTGTAGATCCACAACCACCATTATTTTTTACCCGGTATCGACTATGTAGGAAAAACCGACGCACTGTTGCAGGACCCTACTGCATATAGCCAAAAACTATAATATTGAATCAAACATTTTTTGTAGCTCTTTAAAAACTGGGAAATTTTGTAAATGGTAATTTTTGGCTCTTCCGTTTCAATAGGTTGCCGACCCCTGTATTAGGCTTCTCAATATGGCGGACGTTCATACGCGCAGTGGCGTACACACATTTAATATATGTAATTTCTTGGCGAATAGTACTGAAATTGCATACATTTTACTACAGACAGATTCATCTCTTCTTATCAATCTGAAAAGTAGATGTATTTCAAAATGTTGTTTTACACAATTTTATACACTATTGCTATGGCTGTATCACAACTTGCAAAATGAATGCAATTCAGTTACGTGAAAGAAGACCATTTTAAAAATACAACATGGACACCAATTATAAAATGTAATTTTCGTTTCTTCTGTAGCTTTTAACTTCGTTACACTACACGATTTACAGTTAACCATTGTTTAACTTTACAGTAAATGTCAATTAATTGTCAAAGTCGGCCATATTGAGAAACCTAATTGGATCCCAACAAGCGTAAGTTATATGTATGCAACCCTCCTTCCTTAGTCTTTTATTTCAATCATTCCTCTCACCAGTTATTTTGAACACATACAGACATAGCATCTACAACAACATATAATACAACTGTAATAAACAGATTTTAATAAAAAAGTCAAACTAAACATTATTCATTCCACAACAAACAGAAACAAGCACAAAAGGATGTCAGATACTATAAATATAAATAATATTATATTATAAAAAAATGGACTGAAGTGTCTGCAGCTGAGTTTTAATAATAATAATAATATTTATTATACCGTTATCCGTGTGGGTACACTTACGGTCGTCATTAGAAAAAAAATATTACAAACAAAATACAAAGGTACATTCAGAGACTAACTAACAAAGGAGGATAGCAGAGTACAATTTTACATATTAAATCGCATAACAGTTTTTCATGAATTCTTCCTGACAATAAAAAGCATTTTTTGAATGAAATGTTTTGAGGCGGGACTTAAAAGCTCCAATGGGCAGAGATCTTATATATTAGGAAGGCTGTTGTAAAGAAGTTGAGATTGGTGGACTAAGAAGAAAATCACTGGGGCTAGCAGAATTCCGCTATCTCTACTACTTTGGCCGCTAGGGGGCGTTTCTCGAATTTAGTAAATTAGTATTACTAATACTTAAAAAAAATTTGCTGGGGATAGCACAGATACCACCCGCACACCAAATTTGCTATACCGCCTCCAGTCTACTGCTTGTTAACAGACTTCAACTTCGCATTTTTTTAAAGATCTTGCAATCTCTAGAAAAGTCATTGCTAGTAGTACAATTTATTAAGTAAATTTATAGGAAACAATATTGCCATAGGCACTCGTACTTACCTTTCTCCAGTAGCGCCAATTTTTAGTAGCACCTCTGGGAATTGAATTTAAGGCAAGATAATTTGCTACTACAGTTTCTGAACCAATTTAAAAGTAGTCTGCTAAACCGACCTGATTTATAGAAGCGGAACGACTTACATTAACATGAACCGGAACATAAAAGACTACTAGACAAGTGACAAATAGAATTTCACCTAAAAATCGCAATAAAGTAGTAAGTAATAAAGTATTATGGAAAAATTTTATCAAAACTGGAAAAGGCACATCCAAAATCTTAGCTCTGACTCCTCAACCAAGTTTGACGATTAAAGTGCGCATGCGCAATCTGTGCAATGCCAACTTTACTATTTATAGAGATAATTGTTGTAATTTTAATCAAAGATTCTTCTAGTAAAGGCAAACATATCGCATATTGTAAACAGCAAGTGTGTGCAGGCTCAGGCTGCGCAATGCTAACATTCTCATTCGTAGGTAAACTTTAACCACAGATGTTTCTAGTAAAGGTCAGCGTATCAGATGTGCGCATGCGCAACCTGAGTTCTTATTTATAAACTTTTTTTTTAAATTATGACCATAGATGCGCATAGATGCTTCTATTTAAAAAAAACAGCGCATATAGGTACTCGCCTTAGGGCGAAAACCTTTTTTATCTTTCAATCTTAAATTCATAATTCATAATACTTTTAGATTTGGAAAATTTGTTTCGTGTGGTGCCTAGAATCCAAGGATTATAAGCCTTTAAATTGGTTTAATGATGATGAAATTTCAAAAACTCAAAAGGCAACTAAGCATTTAAGAATCAATAAGTCAATTCCTTTAAAATATTTAATGAATTTTCCAAGACCAACCCTTACGGAAAAGAATTGTAAACGGATAATGGACGATCAAAAATGACTTGCTGTTGAGTCGTCTTTGGAAGCTCAAGTTAACTACCATATCCCATTTAAAGCAAGATTCCAAAGGCGACTCGACAGCAACTCATTTTTGATCGCATAGTATAACATGCACTTACCTTATACAAGCAAGTATCAATAACTTGACTGGTAACTTCCTGAAGATCACTTGTAATTAAAAGACGCGAATGTACAAACTGACATAGATCCTCATTCGACATAACATCCCAAACTCCATCACAGGCCAAGACTAGAAACTCATCTAACGTATCGTCACGGTCCCTAACAAATATTTCGGGCTCTGGCGAAACCAACTGTTCACACGGACCGAGACCGGCGACGTTCTTGTACTCGTAATCACCCAAAGCTCTACTAACGGCAAGACTGCCGTTTACCCTCTGTATCATCACTGATCCTCCCGCTTGAATAATACGATCGCGTTCAGTCGGAAGACCTGGTTTGTGATCCTGAGTGGTAAACACAGGATTACCATCACGACATAAAACGGCACGCGAGTCCCCACAATTTGCAACATAAATAAGGCGAGGTGATACGAAAGCACAAACTGCGGTCGAGCCACTTTTATCTTCACCAGAGGTCATCTCGGGTAATGTGCGCATTTTATTATCTAAATCCAAAAACCCATTATGAATGCCTTTCATTATGTCCTCCTGAAACTCTTCGGTCTGCATGATCGCGTCGAGTAGGTGCTCGGCACAGTGTGCCGAAACTTTAGCGCCGGCGTGTCCGTCGAACACAGCAAAATAGGACCAATCCTTAAGCGCGCCCCCAAGGTCGGTCTTAACCATGTGTGCGTCCTCCATTTCGACTCGCCAACCCTGCATGCTTGCGACACCGAACCTAAGACCATTACCCTCGCCATGTTCCTGTAATTTATCTGTCTTTGGCTTATTAAGAAATGCTCCCATTCTGAACTAAATTTAGTAAATCCTTTCCATTAGCGGAACTTCATTTTGACTACTACGACCTATACATCTCTGATCTCTGTAAATAAAAATGATGTCAATAAAAGCACAATATCACAGTTTGAGCACAAAATAAAAATTTTGACATAAAACACTGCGAAACAAACGAGGCTTGCATAAATGAAACGTCCATTTTCTCTACTTACTCGAATTTGTATTAAAAACGGAGGAAATTCATTACACATTTAGATTTTCAACAAACATCACAATCAATTTTAAACACACAACAATTAATTCTAAAAATGGCGGAACGTAAAGTTGTTTAGCGCATGCGCTTTCCTAAAAATAGAATGGAAAATGACGTAATTTTTTACCAATCACAAACCAAGGATTGCGGATATTTTTGTATATACGGGGTGACGAAACATTTATGGTAAAGTATACACTTTATGTCGTACTATTGCGATGTTACGTTTACATTATTAAAAAAGAAGATCGGCATCGCTAGACTTGTAAATAATAATATAGCATTTCCATAATTATATAAAATTAAGTTATATCTGTTGATGTTGAATAAGTCCATGACAATCTGTAAACGAAACGACGATAAGACGATGAGATTTATACCTATGTCAGTTAACACAATCGATTATTTAATATCTTGACATACTAAAAGAATTTTGAACACTTAATGTTTATTTAACAGTTTCGTTACCACCATGGTCACCATCGCTAATAACATTTTTTAGGCCTTTTTGGACATCACGGTTAAACGTTATGCCAAGCTCATTGGTAGGTACCTTTCAAGTTGCGGAAGATCCTGTTGACTCTTGAACAGTCCAAATTACTAGGATTTTTTCAACAACACCACTGATTGCATAAACAATATTAGGTCTAATACCTAGTCATCGAGTGACACCAGAGTACAGACTGCTCCTCTGGAAAAGATATATTCGATTCTACTCCAGATTCCTTTCTAATTGAGTAGTTCCTTTTACAATAGGATTCTATATCAGTTTGCAAGCTTGCATTATAAATCATTCGAAGATTGATGAATTCATCATCTTTCTTTGAAATTTCAAAACCTAGCAAATACGAAGCTGACCTAACTGTAATTTAAAACTTTCACAATGAAGATGTAACCCAGGGTCAGTCGCGAAGCGCTCGCGTAGCTCCAAACCAAAAATCAAAACTTCCGCCAAAACTATAACTACAACTCCATGGAATATGATCGTCAAGTAACCTGTCTAGTAATATAGGACTTACGTTGTGTTGTGAAACGAGTTACTCGAGGATGCGTGTGTGTGTCGATTAATATATTTTAGTGAAATTTTAACCATAGATACTAATTCTAGTAAAGGGGGTAGAAGTTCGCCTTTCATGGCGAACGGACGTGTTTTGAGTGAGCTCCGGCCTTTTTTCGTGGGTTTTTGTGTTTGTATAGGTTTAAAAATGTATTATCTCGGGCAGCCGGTAGCGTACAAAATTTGTAATTGTTTAGTGCTTACTTCATCGAAATCGGTTCAGTGGTTGAGATTTTACGAATTTTTACAGTTTTAAGTTTAATCTCAAGATTCATAACGCGCGAGACTAATTAAATCGTGAGAAGACAGGGCAGGAACCTCCAATCAACAGGACAAAAAAGGGCGTAAAGCTAAGATAAGTGCTTACTTGCTTACTTACTCACCTACTTACTTAGAATTAAGGCTAAATTTAATTTAAAAGTGAACAAAGGGGAAAAGATAGAATAGAGAGGCGTAAGTCACTGAGAGCTACATTGAATATACCTACTTCGAATCGGGGTGGAACAAATTGACCCTTGGGAAAGGAAATATAAACTTGTCAACCGGAGACATATAAAGAAACTAAACCATAAATTACAATATTTAAGCTCTCAAATTTCGGTCTAATAGGCATGATTGACAAAAAAGGAAACCTTTCTTACCAAATTTCAGCGGCTTTTTTTTTCCTGTTTTTTTGCGCTTTTTACTTTCGTTAGTACCTTTAGTTTAGAGTCTCCCAGATATAATAGAATATACGGGGCGGTCAAAGATAGACTGAAGGGGCACGTCTCGGTGACTTAACAATTAACTTAACTAAATTATCTCTCCTAGGTATCTCTTTTAGCGATCAATAAACAGCACCCACCACCCAAACCAGGATTAAGGCCTTAAAGACAAGTACTCGTAACAGCAATCAAATAGAAGTGCGATCAAAAGAATACATCCTAGAATGCATCAGTATAAATAAGGATGGGGACTGCCTGTTTGGAGCGATTGCGCACCAACTGAGGTGACTGCCAGTGACATCAGAGCCTCACAGGAAATTAACCAAATGATTAAAAAAGAAATCAACGCATACATCAGGGAAAACCTGGAAGATTTCTACCCACAATTGATAGGATACGTAGACGGATACGTGGAGGGAAGAAGGAGAGAACCAGCAGGGTTGCGGAAATCGTAATCAAGAAGCACCGATGCATTGAGGTGGAGAAATTTGAAGGAAAAGCAAGAGTATATCCATGGCCCAAATCAAGATGAAAATAAGAAGACTAACAATCATAGGATGCCACATCCCCTCGGACAAAAGAGGGCAGGCGGAACTCAGAAATCGAAGTGAAACAACAAAAAAAAGTGCGAAAAGAACCGGGGTATCATACTAGGCGACTTCAATGCACAACTAGGCAGACTGGACGGAAGTGAATAGGAGGAAGGGAACGGCAGCGACCTTTACGAACATGGTACACCTACATGGACTGAGGGTAGAAAACATATTCGGCAAGTCCAAAATGGTAACATGTAATCAAAGTAAATAAGCGTCACGAACACAGCAGACATATGGGCAAAAACAGTAGGATCGGATCACAAAATGGTAAAGGGGAAAGTAAAGAGGGGGAGGGGAAGAAGAGAACAGGAAGGAAAAGACAAGGAGCACAACGGGGAAACCGAAGGGTGGAATGTGAAACTTCTGTCAGGGGAGAAGAAAAGAAAGGAGTACCGAAAGCAGTGGTAAAAGATTAGAAGCAAAAAGGGGATGGGATACCATATGGAAAAAGATCGGCGAAACGATCAAAGAAGCAACAAGGAAAACACTAGGGAAACAGAAACCGCCCATGTGACCGAACAGAAAGCGGGCCAAAACCCACACTAACCTGAAACAGAGCCTATGAGCAACACGAAATCAAGGAATTCGCCGAGTTCGCGGAGAACATCACCAAACTCAGACCAATGGAGAGGAATACGGAAATGTAATGGTATAGGCACATCAGAAAATATAAACGGAGGAAACAAGGGGGAAACAGAAAGTATATACCAATGACAGCGTGGGCGATGCTGGGACTACCCAAATTCCTAATCAACAGAACCATACACGCGTGGCAAAGGGAGTATACTAGTATACAATGGTTTTGGAAGAAAACCGAACACCAAAAGAAAACCAGGGGGATCAAACAAGGATGTCCGTTTCCCCAAGGCTCTTCGCGATAGCACTTGACCACGCTATAGAACAAACAAGGATGGTGGTGAGGAACCTTAGCATAGGCGACCAATTACAACTACCGACATTACTATGGCGTACGCGGACGATCTACTCGTAATCGCAGATAATTTAGACGACACTGAGGACTTCGTCCAGGCCATCGGGATACCAGGTACACTCGGAAATGGTGGATCTACAAATATACAACGAAAAGATCTACATGATGACAAGAGTGCCAGGAAACAACACCCCCAGTACAAAGAAGGAGAGAAGACCATAGCCGGGAAGGAGATAACCATGAAGCACAAGATCAAATATATGGGTACGTATGTACATAAGCAGCACCCTCAGCAGGCACAACGCAGTGAAAGACAGAATAACCAACGCATTCAGAATCACACACGGAATCTGGAACTTCATACGAGCGAAGAAAATACCGGACAGCTTGAAATGATGATTTACAACACGATCATAGCACCGACAATCTTATACGGAATTAACACTTCAGCGCCAACAAGGAGCAACAGAAGAACATTGAGGAGGGCGGAGTGGAAGGCACTCAGGATACTGAAGAAAACAGCAACCTCACAAGAAAGCAGAGAAGACAACTATTAGAGGAAAAGACGATTGCCAGGAGACTGAAGATGAGGCAGATGAGATACTGGGGACATACCAACAGGAGGAACAAAGACCATATCATACGGGCTGCCAAGATTCTGTGTGCCTCGGAATGGAAGGTAGGCCGACCCTGCCAAACATGGAACACCACCATAAACCAAACGGTAGAGGTCTCGGGGATTACCACGGGAAGATGGGAAGAGAATAGCAGAGACAAACATCAAAGGAAGAAAGAAAGCAGAAGAATACTGGAGGTGGAGGAAGAATCAGCCACAAGGACAAGTAGCCAAGGGGAGGAGGAAATGGGGACAGAAAGTAATGCGGGGAGAGGACAACAATAAAAAGAGCCTAACACGAGGGAAAATAGGGAAGGGAACGAGACCAAAGGATAGGAACATCGGAAGCCAATGAACGCCCGGAGAAGAAGCTATCACTAGAAAGCAGAGTTCCCTCTAAGGCAGAATACCAGTGGCGAAGCTGTGGCCGTACCCGTTCGGGTCGGATAACACCCAGTTAGCCGCCCCCCCCCACAACCCTCCCAATCCACAAAATCCACCACATTGTTTGGCATATGTCGCGGCCCAGCGCGATGGCAACAAAGTAGTGGAGAAACGTCCCTGATAACCAGGGACGCATCCTCACGACAGTTGACTAAATCCTGGGAGAGGCGGCGACGCCAGGCATATGTCAAAATTTCAAGTTTCAAGATACTAATTCTAGTAAAGGCAAACATATCGCATATAGTTAAAAATCAGGTGTGCAATGCCAACTTTCTTATATATAGAGATATTTTTTTGAAATTTTAACCAAAGATGCTTTTAGTAAAAACAAACGAATCGCATATTGGTTTATAATGTGTGCATTCGCGGGATTCGCAATATCTATCTTATTTATTGAGATATTTGTTTTGAAGTTATAATCACAGATGCTTCTGTTTAAGGCAAACATATCTCATATTGTAAACCTTATTGACAGATAATTAAATTGCGCAACGTAAATTGTGCATAAATTGTATAAAAACATCGTGATAAAAACGGATATGGGAAAAATAAGCAGATACTCTTTTTAATCATATTTTAATATGCATCTAATCTGTAAACCTCTTCACACGTTGACATACTTAAATACATGTGCAGGCTGCCACATAGAACAGTGTCGTCATCATTTTGAAGACATGTATTTGAAACTTGTATTGGCTTCTTTTGGTCTTATATGTGTAGGTGTTGCCTCAGGTATGTAACGACACGTTTATAAGTAATTTTATGCCCGAACGGTCTCTGAATTGGAAGCCTTTATTTGCTGGTAATTTAGCAGCCACGAGCTTTTAAATACCTACTACTTTTAGCGCCCTCAACCTACATAAGCTATAAGCATTTGGAATAAATTTCTAACTCTTATTGCAAGCTGGAAACTACACATCTATGATACTTAATAAAATTTAAATTAAAAAGCCAGTTGAACTGTTTAAATTGTTGTTGTGGAGGTTCCTATACCAAGAGTTGCTGTTCACAATATTGTAGCCGACAATGAAGAAGAATTTTGATAACCTTCAGTTTTAGAGTGTATGCATCTTGCAACTGGTCTTGAAGTGAACTTGAGTTAAGTTAGATACATGCGAGACACCATGGGTAATATTACACCGATCAAAGTCGCAGTGAACAAGGTTTCGTGTTAAAACCTGATGATGGTTAATCGTGTCAAATGTTTTAGAAAACTGTAGCACCACCATGATTGTCACCAGACCTAAATCGGTTGTTTGTAACATACGCGTGGTGCTTTGCGATTAGATACTTTTTACATAACAGTAAAGCTGTCAGGAGACTGATACAAAAAAAACAAACAAAACACTTTAGATAGGTATGATAGGAACAGATTAATAGATTTGAATTCGCAATTAAAGATGGAGATAGCTTTATTCTTGGAGATAAGAGAGATAGTAAACAAATTTACCAACCTGTAGGTATTATTAAACATAATTTATGTAAATTCTATATTTGCAATGAATCGTCTTATCTTCTAAGGTAGTGACATAGGTACCTACCTATTAGGTATATAATTCCATATTGAAATTACTGTTATTTAATATACATTTCATTACTCTGAAAAATAATTATACTCGTATATGGTCAATTCCACCACCGATAAAAATAAATTTGTCGGTTCCCCGATGAAATTGTTGAATAAATCTAATTTTTTTCAAAATCTGGACAACATCTAATAATGTATATGAGGCATCGACGCCTTTCTGAAACATTTCCTTTTTACTAGTGTACCGAAGTTTCTGTTAGGGAATAAGGCTTAGGGATTTGTGTTTTACATATTTTCACTCAACGATATAGCGTTATACGGTTATCATTTCCAATGTTTTCGATGGTTGCGTGGATTGCGAAATCTGTAAATTTTTGCGAAAATATTTGATGCTATGGAAAACGCTTTTTGAAAGACATATGTCGAATACACGTATATACAGGGTGAAAATATTGTCTGAAACACCGAAGGTATCTAAGTTTGTAGATTTGTTGCAAATTTTTAATATTTTTTGAAAAAACAAATTACTTTGACAAAACTAACAAAAGATAAACTTTTTTTCATCGCTAACTAGTGAAACGTATAACATTAATTAACACAACTATTTTTTATTTTAAATTTGATTATGTAATATAATAGATTTTTATGTTGCTGTATCGAAAAAAGGGTGCACCTTTAAGAATATGTAATAAAAAAGAGTGGTTTCCGTTAATAAAATGTGCCCCCCTTCCATGCAGAACATCCAGACAAAATTTTTACCCTGTATTATTTTAAATTTGATTAGTTTAAACGTATTGAATCGTAGGTTCTACCTCAACCACCTGCTACACTTGCTTTGGTATTGAAGACGAGTCCTCTCAAGAACTTCTCAACTGTCGTCGCATGATTAATATAACCGCAACTGACCGTTGTTCGGGTTCACCACGTGCATATTGCATATTTTATTATGGAAGTAAGTAATATGTTATCTAATATACGAATATCATCTACCTCTTTTTAGATACTATAAGAAATCAACCGGTTGTTACTAGAGCTGTGAGAAAGTGTTCTCTGTATGATTGTCAGTATTACAGGGAATGGAGCGCAGCAAACTTACATTGTTCGCACTGCGAAGAAAGCTATTGCAATATATTCCAAATGTGAAAATTTTTGATCAATAAGACCAAGCCTCTAAGCATACTATATACTAATTATGTTATTGATGTTTCTTATTATTGTTGTTCTTTTTTCTTTGATATATCCTCTAGACTATAAAATGTAATAATTATGTTCTAATATACGTATTTACAGCAACGACCATTGGAAGCCGTTTTTGAGTTATTCCTCTATACGTATAACCTCTCAAAGACCTTTAAATAGCTAACTAGGTACATGTTGTGGCTGATGTCCAGACATGATCATAGAATATCGGAAAAAATTGAAGTTAGGGAAGTGTTTTTGGGAGCAAGAAATAAGTAAAGTAGATAGAAAAAACTAGGTAATTTCTTTTGATAAACGTGCCTACTAGTCAAATTGAAATATGTCGCTATCTTCGTCCCTATGTATCCAACTTACATCCCACTTTCAAACTAGCAGTACGTAGGTAGGTAATTACGTATATATAAAACGAAAAATCTCGTTGTGCGCAAATTTTCATATTCGGGAAACGTTGACAACGGTAGAAACTGTCATTATACACTAGCTAGCTGGAAGCAAACGCACCAAAAAGGTAAGTTTAAGGGTACGGCCTGAGCCAGACGAAGAGATCACCAGAAGAATTTGTCCCTAGATCCTGAGAAAGAATTTAACCCTTTACAAAATACTAAGAAAAATTAGCCAAACCCTTCTGCGCGGAAGAATTATCGAGCCTCCCCTCTATTTGCAACCATCCGTTACAATATCACGACAAAAGTACAAACAACTTTAACCAAAACCAGGTGATAATCATCTTAGAAAAGAGTAATTTTGGGAAAAAGTACAAGCAGTTGTTAATCATTCTACTCCTACACTCTAGCCTGCTACCTCTTTATAGTGGTAATTACAAATGTACTAAAATCTGAGAAAATTCATACTTTCCAAAGGGATGCATTTGTATAGTAGAACTTTAGTACATTTTTTTAAACTTACACTCCTAAAGCATCATTTGACGATTTGAAGAACTCTACGGCTTAAAATCCATGTAGGTACAGATGAACAAACTCACGAGATGATCGCACATGTCTAGTATGTTTTCCACAAAATATAATAAGGCAGAAATGGGGTATTTTATATATAAATATTTACAAATTTAATTCATTAATCTAAATATTTCGGCAGTGCTATTACCCTCCTCTTTTAACCAGAGCAGCAACAATTCATCATGTACTCGTAGCTTTCGCACAATTCGTAATTATTAATGGGACATCTTAGAGCAGGTGGGCATCTTACAGGCAATCGATCTGTATTAAAATCACATTCTTATTTCAATTATTAATTAAATGGTTCAAGGTATACCTGTGACTCTGGCGCAGCCACAACAGTATCCAAAAACGATAGATTCGTCATCATCGCAAAAACGTTGAGGACAACTGCCGCAAGTTGGCCCAAATAGCGAAAAGAAGACTAAAATTATAGGTATGAAATTATATTCGAAATGTATTTCAACTTACATCTGCTATTAGTCTTCGGCCTTTGCAAAGCGCCCATTCTAATTGCCAAAAAGCATACGATGAGAACGACTGAAGCACGTCTAAGAAACATGTTGGGAATCTGTAAATGAACACATCCATTCTATTAAATACCAAGCTCTTGTCAAAAATTCCAGTGAGTTAAAAACTCATTAAGACGGTCGACGAACTTGCATTTTCATGTTAACTAATGGTTTCCTATAAGGTGCGTTGATTAAACTCATTATGTTATTATCTCTCTACATATTTCTCTATGGTGGTTGATAACGAGTAACAACAATGGCTTTGGATGGTTTTTGGGCAGCGTTGTTGGTACGGTAAATTGTGCTCGTGCTAGGAATTGCGATATTGTTGTGGGAAATTTCGTTTTTTTCAGCATATTGATATGTCGATTTTCTTATCTGATGATTGATAGTTAAACCAATAATTCCTGATCAGCATTAAAAAATGTCTAAATCTGCATTATACCAAAGAGTAATTATTCTGTGCTTATACCTTGTCTCTTTGCTAAGTCGCGAATGTTTCTTTTTGATATCTGCGAAAAGTAGTTAAGTAGGTACCAGGGGGACACTTAAGGTGTTGCTGGATTCGTTTAAACTCATTCATTCTTCTTTTACAGCCCTTATGGCCCTATTCATCGCTTTCTGCTGAAAAGAAGATCAACAAAAACAAAGTAAAGGGTGCAAACTTGTTTCCAGTTAAATTGTATTTTTACCAAGAAAGTTGTGGGGTAGTTTTGATTTCTTTGATTCTATATGTTTTTTGGGGTGCTGAATCCGAATCTGAGGTTTGCCAACAAAATTTCATGACGCAACATTGAAAAAAATACAAAAGAAGTTGAAAAAGATATTTTTTTGGCAGTTTTGTGCTTACAACTTGAAAACTATCACCTTTTCGAAAAAAACCTTCCTATTCAAAATTAAAGTACATAAAATTTCCTACAGATTCCACTATTTAGTTTTTTTTCCTCGATAAACCGTTCGGGCTCAAGCGCCAGTTGAAAATTGGCCTATTTCGGCTGTCTCCACAAAACATAGTTTTTTCGCACTAAAACCCTAAATTAATATTAAGCGTTGTCAATAAGTGAATTCCTTGCATTTACCTACTATTATTTGAATTTTATATGTAAGGGTGGTTTTTTCTCATTTTCATAACGTTCAAGGTGTTCATTGTTGTCCAGAATGGTATGAAAAGTTAATTTCTAACGAACAACAGTATATCATATTATTATATTATTTATAATACTTATACTGTGCTATCTAAAATTATTCCCACTCTCTTCCGAACCAGATAAAGAAATCACCTCGGAAATCACAAAACCCAACCGTAGCATGTTTGGATAATTATTGTTGAATTTGGGAAAGTGGCGCTGTGGTCATTATTAATTAAAAAAATTCAAATGGCAAAAGGGGTAAATTGATTTCCTATTCAACGGAATTATCCCTCTTGCTCCAGTGTTCTGAAGAATCACGTACCTACTCCTCGGAGTGGGGTAACGCAGTTACCCCAGCTTAAATTTCTCTGCTATCAACTGAACCCGATTTATTTCTTTTTTGTTTACATGTTAACCAGCGACAAAAAGCGAGTTCATGATTTTGGACTGTCCGTCCGTCCATCTGTGTAACTTTGTGAGGGTGTGTATGTATGTGTATGGGAGAAGGGCCTCGAGACTGCAAACGTAGGTCAAAGAGTAACGTACTCTTTGCGTAGGTACACGGTGACGTAATGGGCCTTGGCTCATCTGTGAAGGAGTGGGAGAGTTTTATACCAGACGGAACTGTTATAAAATCTTTTGAGGAGACCGGTAGACAATGAAAAGTACGGATTTATATTGGCACAGAATAATAATAAAACAATAATAAAAGATGAGTATTTTGCGGATACAGCCGAAATACGCCAATTTTCAACTGGCGCTCGAGCCCGAACGGTTCATCGAGGAAAAAACTAAATAGTGGGGTCTGTAAGAAATTTTATGTACTTTCATTTTAAATAGAAAGGTTATTTTTGAAAAGTTGATAGTTTTCAAGTTGTAAGCACCAAACTGCCAAAAAAATATCTTTTTCAACTTCTTTTGTATTTTTTTCAATGTTGCGTCATGAAATTTTGTTGGCAAACCTCAGATTCGGATTCAGCACACCAAAAAACATATACAATCAAAGAAATCAAAACTACCCCACAACTTCCCGTTAGATGCCCGTTTGAGCACACATGGCCTGTATTAATAGTAAATAAGTTATCCTTGATACTGTATTTACTTTCCAAACGTATATTAGGCAAATACAGTCATCGCTTACAATTTTCTTTATGAAAAAAACACCATTAGGTAAGTGTATCTATGTTTTATTTATTTCTATAACACAGGTCAACAAAAAAATAATTTTTTTTTGCGCATGGGATTTACATAATATATTCTGACTATAATAAGCAAAAATAAATAAAAAGTGCAATTAGACATTGAAAATATTTGCTTTTACAAAACTTACAGCGATTTGATTGAAAGCTTTCAGGGGCCATAATTAAAGCTGGAATCTTTGTTTTCCCCCAAATAAAAAGAAAAATGGAGGATGATATTTTCCCGCGGTTACTTTGCAAAGAGGAAAAAAATCCTGGAACATTTTTAAGGCAATAGTCCATGGTTTTCCGTTCAGTGTTTCCTTGGAAACCATAGAGCTAAAAATTATGACGAGCTGAGGGGTTTTGGTTTTGCATCATCGGGTATAGAATGTCTCTAAAGATGTACAGGTTACATTCTCATTTAGATTAATTTAAGGATAATATGGGAGCTTATTCGGAACCTTTTCATCAAGACATAATGAATTTAGGCACGTTACCAAGGCCAGTAAGCTGGAAGCATGATGGAAGATCATATTTGGGGGGTTGATGAGAAAAACTTCAGTTGAAGACGACAAAAGCAGCAAAACTGTTCCATTTTTAAACATTTAGACTCTAAGACAAACAGATTATAAATGTAGGAACGTTACCTTATATTAAATCATGGCTATGTAAGTAAGATTTTATAGGTATTTTTATTTTTTGGTTTTTTGCATTTTTTTCGCACAAAAACAAATACATAACCTTTTTTTGTTCTAATTCTTATTTGTGGCTATACAAGCAATACAAATAAGGTATATATGTCCCATGCGCAAAAATGCTGTAGACCGGTGTAATCAGAGGCAATTAATACCTACCTACTACTTAAATCAAACAATTTATATTAATTATGTCCATGCATTAACGCTCTTTACGTTATAACCCCTACTATAATTATTGTGTATGTGATGAACAAATTTCAATAAACGAATTAGCTTATAAATTGGATCGAACTAGACTCATGGCAAGCTTGCAAATACCCATTATGTAGTTAAATACCCGCTATCAATTTTAAAGTGAGGCAGAAGAAATTATAGCTTTCATTATTTAAATGCCCGTTTAGAGAACTTCTCCCTGACACAATGCCCCCAACGTTTCCAACCGTGTTCGGCTACCAAAAAAAGTAAAGCAAGAACTAATCCGACCCCCAACACAATTAGAGCCCAATACGATTCTTCTATCCCAACCTCAATTTTAAGGTAAGGGGTGCTATCTCTACAATTGGGCTTACAGGAATCCCAATAACTTTTTACACGATACATAACTCCGACTTCACTTTGGTGAACGGAGCTGCAAGAATAATATCAGAAACTAATTTGCGAATTAAGTTCTCACCAGTAGTTAAGCATCTCTTTTAGTGGCGATCCTTTTGGTAGCGTCATGTACAGTGTTTCAATTGCATACATTTGAATTTCCGCCAGTTGGCAGATGGCTTCTTCTGGGAACTGGGTTTCGATAATGGAGTAAGCAGTTGTAGTTACTGAATGGAAAGCAAATCCGCCTGCTTTAACTTTGTCCATTCCTACTTGAGCGGAAAAAAAGTTGGTTGCGTTGTGAGAACCTTTCATTTTTGTGTTGTACAGACTAATGGCAACCGGATTCGTTGTTGTCTAAAAAAATGATAAAACACAGAATATTTACGCCCACTACTACTAACAGAAAAATAATTTCTATCATACTGGGTGTCTTCGCAGCCAACCTCCAGCTTGCTCTTTAATAAATCTTCTAATGTCTTGATTGTACGTGGGGGTTCCAATAGTAGATTGGAAACAATACTACACGAATAAAATTGGTACACCATAAAGAAGAATATCAAAACTGTAAAGGTTACCATTCTCGTACTGGCAATGGTAGGAAGATTAGAAAACCCTGTGATTAGCATAGAGGTAGCAATATTTCAGTGAGTATCTACTTACCTTGTTGTCCGAGCTCTCCTATACAGTAAATAAACAACATGGTCCAAGAACGATCTTGTACACCTTGCTTTGATCTTTGACGTAATATTTTATGCTCGTGCACTAATGTGATACGTAAAATGAATATGATTAGTACTATAACCAATAGAATTCCAATCCAAACGTTTGTCTCTAACGGTTGTAAGTATATTTTAGAAGAACTGGCGGTACTTCTCGGATGTCTAAAGATGAATGGAACCCTGTTTATATAATGAAAATGAGTGGTAGATGTGGAATGGCATGTTTGGGAAAGAAATTGTATGTACCTCAGTATCCAACTTCCGTGCCCGTAATCCATAAACTTTAAACGGAACGGCTTAAATACTAATACTGAGTGACTAAGATCGGCCCTTTTTTCGTGTAGCACTTTTGGCAGGCCATCAACTTCTCCGTTGGGGAGTAGGTAACCCCAAGATCGCGTGGACGACATATTTACACTGCAATATGGCCAATGTAGCGTTACTTTTAACATCATTTTAATATTCTCTCACTCAAAACGGAACAAGATTCGACAGTTCTCTATTACTTCACTTTGAAACTTTCCAAAAACGTTTTTCTCCTTACCTACGTCACTCTCCATATATTCGGCGACACTTATATTTATAGCTTCCGGAATCTACAAACTGAACTTAGGAGAACAACCCCTAACTGTCCCAAATACATACAGCTAATACTGATTTAAATGTAACGCCAGTCATATTTCTTCTTCTGTAATATTTATTATCTTCCACTCCCACACGGTAACCATCATCATCATTGTAATAACCAATTTCGCTTACCACCAATTTCCCGCCATTTTTATAGGCCGGATTATACACATCGAACACGGTCCAATTTGACTTTTTCTGATTGGAAATCGCCACGCTAATATCGGCATTTATAAACATGTTTACATTTTTAAACTTTTCAATTGTGTCACGGTTAGATCCCAACATGATCCAGTTGTAGGTGTGGGAAAACAAGTCGAGAGACCCGCACTGGAAATACGCCGAGTTTTATACTTCAAACATTCTAAAGAAGTGTAAGGCGCATGGGGACAGCTGCAAACTGCGAACCATTTAAGGACCGAAGAGAACACCTTGGTGGAACTCAGACCTTAAAAAGTATCGTAAGGAGTTTCACATGCTTTTTGATAGGGCCATGCGAATTAAGCTGCTTGCCGACTGGGAAAATCTCAAGATCGCTCAGCGCATACAGAGTGGCCCAACGAGAAGTATACAGAGGGCTTTTAGGGTATTAAATTTAGAAATTTCGAAAAATTCTCGAACACGTCAATTTTGTATTCGAGGGGGACAACTTTTGGAATACAAATCACGAACCCAAGTCTTCACCCCTCTACGTAGGGAGCTTAACCCCTAAAATTTTAAATGGAATCCTATGGCAAATGGCACATTATTTGAAAGCCAATTTAATCGTGATTACTAATCTGCTTTGCTTTTTAAATTCTATTGATTCGTTTCGGAGATATTCGCATTTGAAATGGTTTTTTTCCCCTGATTTAAGTCCTTTAGATTACTTCTTGTGGGGATATTTAAAGAATAAAGTTTATGCTACTCCGCCCGGAACATTACAAGGGTTGCGAGCACGTATAGCCATAGTGTAAGAATAGAATACACTATGGTATAACTCAACAATTTCGAGCGATCACCCCTGAAATCTTGCAACATGTACGGCAGCATTTTGAAGCAAATCTTTATTATTGCATGGAAGCAAGCGGAAGGCAATTCAAGCATTTATTGAAATGAATGTTGTGTGTTTAAAGTTATTTGTTATTTTTTGCACAATTTAAACCAATTTAAACATTTTAATACAAGGTGACTTAGATCGCATTTGTTTTGTTTTTTTTAGAAAAAACCATTTCAAATGCGAATATCTCCGAAACGAATCAATAGAATTTAAAAAGCAAAGCAGATTAGTATAATCACGATTAAATTGGCTTTCAAATAATGTGCCATTTGCCATAGGATTCTATTTAAAATTTTAGGGGTTAAGCTCCCTACGTAGAGGGGTGAAGACTTGGGTTCGTGATTTGTATTCCAAAAGTTGTCCCCCTCGAATACAAAATTGACGTGTTTGAGGATTTTTCGAAATTTCTAAATTTAATACCCTAAAAGCCCTCTGTATACTTCTCGTTGGGCCACTCTGTATACAGGGTGTTACACGACCGTTCGAAAAAAAAAATCGGGTTGTAGAGGGCATCAAAACAAGCACTTTTTCCAAATAAACCGAGGGTCCAACGTGTTTCGTTTGGGAGCCACCCCCCAAAGAGTGTTGAAATCTGCATTTCTTCTTTAATTTTTTTCTCAGCAACCATAAGAGTTACAAAGTCGGGTGGCATGTCTTTGAATAGGTTTTTGGGTATGCTCTTTCCGATTTTGCAATTTTTTTTTCAAAATTCCTACCCCTAAAGGGCGCACCCCTAAACTAGGGTGCAAAAAAAAATTCTGATTTCGACGAAATTTGGTATCTGGGGTTTTTTTAACATGAAAATCACGAATCTGAAATTAGTTTTTGAAAATTCGAAAAAAAAAGTTCCACTGCAATTCTTGGCGGGACAACGAAAATAGAGATAATTCCACGAAATTTGTTGTGTACATACTAAACGAGTTAAGGAACAAAACTGTCGAACAGTTTTTTAAAATAACTTTTCAAACAAAAGTTATACTCATTTGAATGTTGGTCCTTCGGGTCGCGAAGTGTCCCAAGCCTACTAGTAAGCCATAATTTCGCATGTGTTTTATTCAGTTGAAGATAATCTTAAAGGTCACGGTTCATTTTTTCTAGAAAACATTTGGCAGTTCTGAAAAGAACTTTTTTTGTTTTTAGTGATCAGTAACGGACTTCACTTCTTCCAAAAATGAAGCGATATGCTTATGCAACATTTTCAAAAATGCCACCGCCAGCAGCCACGCACAATCTGCATCTCCTTGGAACAGAATTTGACGACTTCAACACCATCATAGGATTGGTTTTAATAACTTCTGAAGCTGCCATCACGCGACCAACCATGCGAAATTATGGCTTACTAGTAGGCTTGGGACACTTCGCGACCCGAAGGACCAACATTCAAATGAGTATAACTTTTGTTTGAAAAGTTATTTTAAAAAACTGTTCGACAGTTTTGTTCCTTAACTCGTTTAGTATGTACACAACAAATTTCGTGGAATTATCTCTATTTTCGTTGTCCCGCCAAGAATTGCAGTGGAACTTTTTTTTTTCGAATTTTCAAAAACTAATTTCAGATTCGTGATTTTCATGTTAAAAAACCCCCAGATACCAAATTTCGTCGAAATCAGAATTTTTTTTTGCACCCTAGTTTAGGGGTGCGCCCTTTAGGGGTAGGAATTTTGAAAAAAAAATTGCAAAATCGGAAAGAGCATACCCAAAAACCTATTCAAAGACATGCCACCCGACTTTGTAACTCTTATGGTTGCTGAGAAAAAAATTAAAGAAGAAATGCAGATTTCAACACTCTTTGGGGGGTGGCTCCCAAACGAAACACGTTGGACCCTCGGTTTATTTGGAAAAAGTGCTTGTTTTGATGCCCTCTACAACCCGATTTTTTTTTTCGAACGGTCGTGTAACACCCTGTATAACAACCATATTCGAAAATCTAACCTTTTGAAAGACCCGGGGCAAAAAGTGGGAACACTGAGGCAGATTACCTACATACGTCTGACGCACCGGGTGAGGTTCTCATATGTCTCATGGAAACACACTTTCCATGCTCTGGGGACTACGTAACTTTGAAACGACTAAAAGGAGCTACCCGGGTCGATGCAATACCGATCGACTGGAAAGTAGTTGTAGGGGTCATTATACCGAGATGAGTGACCAACAAGTTCAGGTCCATCATCCTATCACCGTTTCTTCTAAAAACGTGTAAACAATGGCGGTTTGGGACGTTGAAGTTTAGGTCCAGGCACTTGGGTCACGGGTTGATAATGTATTAACCAAATGCTCATTACAACTAATGTTAATCAATTTCGTGGGTTTATTTACGAATAAACACAAAATGATTTTGCGTATCTGCATTGTTTGTTTATTTCTTTGAAGAGGAAAGGGTATTTCTTAGACTTAGGCAAATTTTTATCTCAATTTTGTTTTGTTAATGCATTTGTGACAGCTCCGACTTGATTTATTGGACATTTCGTTTAGTTTATAAAAGATTAATGTAATTATGTCTAGAGATAAGGTGGGTTTTTAATCAGAAAAAAACACTGCTTGTTTTCGTAGAAATGTAATAGTTTAGATAAGATAATTCCGAGTAAAGATTCGCGTACGTGACAAAAACGCGCGTCCTGTCGCAAGTTGTTAATTGGTTTATCGATTTACCAAGGGCCGTTTATTGGATAGAAATTTTCGAGTGTTTGGAAGAGGAAAGTCAGTTTAAATACTGGAGTCGGCGTTAGATCGAGGCAGGTTTGCCAAGTTCGAGGCCGGGGTTCCGTTCGTTAGAAAAAAGTTTTTTTTGCCAAGTTGCTGTGCTTATAGTGTTTAAGTTTGAGAAGATACGCGTGTTTATGTTTAAGTTGGTGGCAGAGCTAGTTGCTTTATTTCGTTGTTAAACAAATTCGTCAAAGAGAAGCCAGTACGTGCTGGGAATAGCAGTTTCATTGAAGTTATCATCCACGTTAAACGAACAGCTGTTCGAATCATCAGTGGTGTACAACCTGTCTGGGAAAGAAATTATGCATCTCAAAGTTTTGGGCGCCACGTGACGATTAAGTGCGTTATTTCCTTTCGTAATTAGCGTTTTTGTGCGCCCGCATCATTTTATTGGGATTTGTAACTCGAAAACTGCACGTCATTTTAAGATTTTTTGATGATAGTGTAAATTGTATTCGAACGCATATGCGAAGTTTGTTTTAATCAGACGCTGTTGATCCAAGCTTGTTAAATAGGATTTTTTTGTATAATTTCATTTGTGGCCACAGAATAAATTTTGTTTATGTAAAATCATGCAAGTCGGTGCGTTTATTCGATCCCTTTAACGATTCAGAGGGATGTCTCATGCAGAATTAAGATTAATTTTAATGATCCGTGCGCAAAGTGCTTCAAAAATTTGGTAATTGACCTTTTTGGAGTTTAAGGAGTTTGATCGTGGCCATTTTTTTGCTTGGAATCAAGAAGTTAAAGTCAGAATTGAGTTATTTTTTTGTGCCGGGGGTTTGGTTTGTAGAAGGGTGGCTTAAATCCGCGACTGGTATATTTGCTTTACACTGTAGTGATTATACTTTACGGTGCACTTGTATACTGCGCCTACAGGAAGCAGATAAATAAGCAACAGAGACTCGCCTGTCTGCTGGTCACTAGAGCCATGCAAACCACGCCAAATTTGATAATGGAGGCATTTCTGGGACTAGAGCCTTTACATTTATCTATGGGCAGGGTCGGAAGTCTGGAATATAGGTACTACTCACGTTTTGAATAAATGTTTCCATTTGTTCGCAATCACCATCTACAGCAACAGCCAGGTTACTTTGATCTCGAGCGAATATACTGGTCAATGAAAATCTCAAGTCATTTACGTCATATACTGCGACCTTTATACTATTCTTACTAAAGAATTTAACCAAATCCACACGATCTAAAACATATTCTTACAAACCTCACAGAATACAGCTACTTACCTCTTTTACTAAGGCAATTAAAAATTATACCTGCATCGCAATATTTATGTTCAAAGTAAGTTAACAACAAATTTTTATTTAATTCCGTATTTGCATAACGTACGAATACTATAAAAAGTGTAAGTAGTGCAAACATACTTGATAGAATAACAATGGAAGGAGTAAGTTTTCCTTTATAAAGCTTGTCAAATTGTATTATTGTATTGGCAAAAATATTAACTTGTCCAAGATTTTACATTTGTCTAATTTAATAGCATTTATTTAGATAGGTATATGATTAACTTGTCTATTCAAAAACGAAT